CTATTTCCTTAGAGCTTTGCCAATTTTCTTTATCCTTTATCTTTTTTAAAAAACTAGTTGTTTGTTATATTGACTTCCTCTAACGGTTTTCTACTTTTAATTTCAAGGATTTCTTATTTATATTATTTCCTTCTATTTCCTTTGAATTTATTCTGTATTTTTTTCCTAAGTTCTTGAGAGAAGAATTTAAATAATTGGAGATTTTTCTTCTTGTCTCATACATGCATTTAGTGCTGTAAATTTTTTTTCAGCATTATTGTACCCACACCCCACACTTTTGATATGTTGTTATTGTTTGGATCTGGAATGTTCCTCTCAAAGGCTCATGTGTTGGAGGCTTGGTCTCTAACTAGTGATGATACTGCGGGGTAGTGGAAACTTCAGGAGGCTGGCCTTACTTGGAGGAAGCAGGTCACTCTGGACATGACCCTTGAGGGTGTCTCCTATCTCTGGGCCCTTCTCTCTTTGCTTCCTGGATGCCATGATGGTAGCCCCTTTCCTCTGCCACACCTTTCTATGGTAATGTTTCTGCCTTTCCACAGGTCTAAAAACAATGGAGCCAGTTGTAGACTCAACTGCGAGCCAAAATAAATATTTCCTCATTGTTTTTCCCAGACATTTTGTCACACGAAAATCTGACCAATACAGTTATATTTTCATTTTTATCCAGTTCAATGCATTTTTAAATTTCTCTTGAAATTATACCTTTGACCCATAGATTATGAAGAAGTCAGTTTAATTTCTAAGTATTTGAAGATCATCCTGTTTGCAAATTCTAATTTGATTTCATTGTGTGATTTCAATTATTTTACATTTGTGGAGGTATGTTATTTCTTAGCATATGTTCCATAGGCACTTGAAAAGAATGTGTATTCTGCTGGTGTTGGGTGGAGTGATCTCTAAATGTCTTTCAGATACTATTTGGTAGTGTTGAACTCTTTTATATCCTTGCTGATTTTCTTTTCAATTATTCTTTACATGGATTATTTACAACTATTAAATTACTGATCCTAGACCGCTGGTTGCTGTCCTGAGTCAGATAGGAAATGTAAATGAGAAAGTGGAAGGAGAAGTGTCAGTCATAACTAGAGAGAGTGAAAGGGGTGTGGAGAGGATAGCAGAGGTACAGAAATGACTTGATTCATCTGCATATGTGAAGATGGCCCTGTACAGGAGGAAGGAGAAAGAAAGCAGTCTTTCTCACTCATCTTTGTAAAATGGACTCTAATATTAATTAAAGCTTCTTGTTAATGTTTTTAACTCTATTTTTTCTGTTTTCTTTTGTAGTTCTGGGGATTAAATCCAGGGTCTTGTGCATGGTAGCAAACACTCTACCCACAAGATATATTCCCTTTATGACTGATGCTTCTTGTTCTAGATCCAAAATCAACTGTCTTCAGATGACAGTCATTACATTTCCTTCTTCTTTTTCTTGTGGTTATACTGTGTCCTTTTCTTTGGAAACTTAGATCATGTAATAGAGCTACTGTATAGGGCTATATAGATTGTGTGTTCTGCAAAAGTCCAAGTGATTCATATCCAATGAGATGTTTCCTTGTTGTATTGTAGCTATACAAGCCAGTAGAATTTATTTTGATATAACTGTACAAGCATGGGCTATATCTTATTCTAGTTAGGACCCCATTCTTATAGATGTACATGATGATAGGATTCACTATGGTGTATTCTTATAATCAATGAGATGATATAATAAGTCATTGCCCAGAAATCTTTCTGCATCATTATTATTAGATACTTTTACTTACCATTAAGAAATATTTGAGGAAAAATAAGAGATACAGAATCACCAAAACAATCCTTATCAAGAAAAGTGAAGCAGGAGGCATCACAATACCAGACCTTAAATTATACTACGGAGCTATAGTAACAAAAACGGCATGGTATTGGCACCAAAATAGACATGTAGACCAATGGTACAGAACAGAAGACACAGAGACCAACCCACATAAACACAATTATCTCAACTAGACAAAGGCGCCAAAATATTTATTGGAAAAAAGATAGCCTCTTCAATAAATGGCATTGGGAAAACTAGAAATCTATATGTAACAAATTGAAATTAAACCCCTATCTCTCACCCTGCAAAAACTCAACTCAAAAGTGTTTGAAGGACTTAGGCCCTAGACCAGAGACCTTATACCTAATAGAAGAAAAAGTAGGCCCATATCTTTGCCATGCCAGTTTAGGAACTGAATTCCTTAACAAGACCACTAAAGTATAAGAAGTAAAATCAAGAATCAATAAATGGATGGATTCAAACTAAAAAGCTGCTTCTCAGCAAAGGAAACAATCAAGAACATGAAGAGAGAACCTACAGAATGGGAGAAAATCTTTAGGATACATAAAGAACTCAAAAAACTTAATGCCCAAAACATAACCCAATCAATAAATGCACAAAGGAACTAAACAGATGCTTCTCAGAAGAAGAAATATGATTGGTCAACAAATATATGAAAAAAATGTTCAACATCTCTAGCAATTAGAGAAATGCAAATCAAAACTACTCTAAGATTTCATTTCATTCCAGTCAGAATGGCAATTGTCAAGGATATAAGCAACAATAAATGTTGGTGAGGATGTTGGAAAAAAGGTACCCATTATCTTCTGGTGGCACTGCAAATTGGAAAGCAGTATGGGGATTCTTAAGAGTACTTGGAATGGAACCATTGTTTGACCCAGCTATCTCACTCTTTGGTTTATACCCAAAGGACTTAAAATTAACATACTACAGAGATGCAGCCACATCAATGTTTACAGCAGCTCAATTCACTATAGCCAAATTATGGAACTAACCTGGTGCCCTTTAACAGATAAATGGATGAAGAAAATGTGGTATATATACACACAATGGACTATTACTCACCCGTAAAAAAGAATGAAATATGGCATTTGCAGGTAAATGTATGGAACTGGAGAATAACATGCTAAGTACTAAGTGAAGTAAGCCAGCCCCCAAACCAAAGGCCAAATGTTCTCCACAATAAGGGGGTGGGGTTAGGGAAAAATAGAGGTGCTCTGCATTAGACAGACGGGAGTGGTGGGAGGGGAGGGGGTATGGGGATAGGAGGGATAGTGGAATGAATCGGACATCATTACCCTATGTTCATATATGACTATATAACCTATGTGATTCTACAACAGGTATAGCCAGAAGAATGAGAAGTTATACTCCATTTATGGATAATGTGTCAAAATGCATTCTACTGTCATGTATAACTAATTAGAATAAGTAAATAAATAAGAAATGTTTGAACATATATGTCAGGTGTTGTTCATATCCTGGGGATTTGGCAGTGAACAAGATAGACAGGGACTGCTTTTGAAATTGGAATGGGAGTAAGACTAACAGTAACCACATAAATAAGCTTCAGTGTTATAAAGAAAAGGATATACAGATGGGGAGTGAGTTAAAACTTTAGCTTGAATGTTTGGGAGATACATTCTTATGTTATTCAATAATACTTACAGGACCATATTCTATAACAATAAATATTATGTAACTAACTATTTTCTGTCTCCCTGCCCCAAACTTGAAACATGATATCATTATGTTTACACTAAGTGTTTGAAACAAGTTAATAGAGTTAACAATTTCTTACTAGATTTTGTATTTTTCTTTAGAGGATGAAATGATCTTTTAAGAGAAAGTGAATTACTTAATAATCTGAGTAGGTATAGTCAGAAAATTTTATTACATGTATAAAACTAAGGATACTTTTGTGGGTTTGGCAGAGAGCCAGACTTCACAAATTTAGTACATTTTCAATACCTGTGAACTACATTTTCTAAGACCTAGAAAACTCCTCAAAATCACAAATCTCCCTATAGCACATAATTTCCCCATAAAATATAGTGAAATACAAATAAAATATATTAAAATATCCCTGGTATCTATAATGGTTTCCTATAAGTACAGGACTAAAGAAATCTGTAGGATTAGTTTTTGGCTAAGAAACTTCCTCTCATTAGACTTCTGCACTCTCATTACCAGTACCAGTGACTGGTTTTCTTTTATGAGATTTTTTTTCCTCTCAAAATTAAAAGCACAGGTTAAAACCACAACAACACCCTCCCCGCCAAAAAAAACCCCAAACCCTACAAAAAAAAAATCCCTAAAAGTCAGTTTATTCTTGACAATGAATAGAAAAGGAGTAAACACATTGTGGGTTGGTCCATAAGGTGGGCCCACGCTCAGGAAAGAGCTCCACTCAACCAACACATGAGTTCAGAGGGCTCGTGATTCAAATGAAGCATATGGAATATGAGAAATCACCATGAGTCATCAATTATCAAGGCTACCAAAAGATCAGTGAAACCGAGAATGTCAAATCTCCATAGACGATAAATACCTTTTGGTTTCTAAATTACAGATTTATACCTAGAGAATATAATACAACCACTTGTTCCACCTCTTTAGTGTTATAGCACATGTGAGATCATTTTGAGGGGGAAACAAAGATATAGAGCTTTCTGAGCTGAATATAATAGAGGAAATTGCTCTGGAATACCACAAGTTAAATTTTTTTTTCTTTTGCTATATGACTATTATGGTTGTTTTCTAATTGTCACAAATCCACAAAGTCTATAAATCTTATTTTTTCTTTTTTTAAAAATATATATATTTTAGTTGTAGTTGGACACAATACCTTATTTATTAATTTTTATGTAGTGCTGAGGGTTAAACCTGGTGCCTTGCATGTGCTAGGTGAGCGTTCTGCTGCTGAGCCAGAATCCCCGCCCCTATTTTTCTTTTTTCTTTTTAATCACAGTTGATAATTTCATCTTCCAAGGAAGGTGAAGAGAAATTGAGCCAGGGTTTTGGAGGTCCTCATAAACATGAAAGCAGCCCACAAAATCAAGGTGTTATTATCAGTCAGGTATTACTGGTTTCAAATTCCCACTTTGTTCCTTGAGCAGAATAAAAATTCATAGAACTACTGACTAGCTGAAATGGACATTGAACAAAGGGTTTAACTTACTTCTCTCACAAACCACTGACAAAAGGCAGGACCGATCCATTCTCTTGCATGAATACCACAGTCCATCCAGACAGCTCTTTTGTAAGCTCGTGATTTTCTGCCCAGCTGAAAACAGGAGTATTCATAGTAACAAACTCAGGCTTTTATTGGAGATTCACTGACCAGCATAATTTAATAAGATTTCAGCATAATTCTTCACTATGGTTTGGTTCATTAGGTAACACATAAAAAAGATAGAAAGATATTCTATCTACTTTGGAAGTCCAGGCTTATTTATGCAGAAACAATAAATTTAAAGCCCTAATAATACAATCAAAGAATTATAAAATATACAAGGGAAAGGGAAATCTCTAAACTAGGGTTGCTTCTATTTTAATATAAGATATAAAGTTTAAATAAAAGGCTAAATTCTTCTTTCTTCCTTCCCTTCCTTTTTCTCTCTCCTTTCCTCACCATTTCCCCAAATTTTCCAATCAGAAATGTTCTCAAGGAATATTTCTTAAAGAAATAGCTATATTTTATAGGTGAATAAAGTCAAACTTTATTATACCACAAAAGGGAAAATTAAAACAATTTGGTCTATAGAATCAGGTGGTAGATTAAAAAATTACTATATCAACATTAATTCTAACCAAGTTTCTAATCTAGTCATTAATAGGTAATTTTTAAAATTATATTCATAGGGGATCTCAACTAATACTTCGGAAAATACTTTTTAACATCAGATACTGGGCTCAATCCTAGAGATTCAAAGATGAAAACACAAGGGGTTTACATGCTAGTGGGGAGAGTGGACAGGTAAGCAATCAATCAACCTTTATGGTGTGAATATCCATAAGGCACCTTAGGAACATGGGTGTTGTGTTGAATTTTCCTGGGGAATAAATGGAGGCTTCTCAAAAGAAGAACTTGAGCATGTTTTCAATTTTGCCTGGCAGACAAATTGGTGGAAGGCATTTCAAGTTTGAAAGAGAATCTGAGGACATGATATTGCAAGGATTGCTTCTGTAGTTTGAGGAAGGAACAGCATGTGAAACTGTAACAGAGACAAGAGAACACTTGGAGTCCCTGGATATGATGGAAAAGAGATGAGGATGGGTTCCATATTCCCCAGAAGGGGTAAGGGCACACACACATGTGTGTGTGCATGCATGTGTATGTGTGAATGCTCACGTGTGTGTGCATGCATGTGTATGTGTGAATGCTCATGTGTGTGTGCGTATGTATTTGTGTTATCTCTGACAGCAATGAGGAGGATGGATAGGAGGATAAGAGGGCCAAGAACAGGGACTCAAAAAGAAGTTGAGTACTGGGGCCACTATTGCAATAGTCTAGGAGAACAGATCTAAAGGCGAGTTAGGGCAACACCAGTGAAGACAAGGGAAGAGGTTTGGGCTTATCCAAAGGAATTATCAATTGAAAGTGAGTGATTAAAATAAAGGAGAGGAATTTAGGATGATAATCATGTTCCTAAACTGGGAGGAAAATGGTGCCATTCTGACTCTGAGGGGCTTGCTTTTGTGAATATCCAAGTTAAGGTGTCAAGCAGGCAATGATGTGTGAATTCAAAGCTCCCGAGAGTGGACTCCACTGGATAGAAAGGTCTGGCATGACTGTTGACATTACCAGCAGATATGCCCAGTTAGAGAGGGTTTATGGAGTGAAAGCAGAGATGTGGGTAGGGTCATGGGGATCACCAGAACCTAAGGAAAGAACAAGGAAAGAGGAGCCAGTGAATGAGATTTGAAGGAATGAATGGTTAGAGAGACAGAAGGAGAATTGAACGGGAGTCATCGTTGACCTTGGCAAAGTAAGTTTAAAGGGAGCTGTGGGACATGAGCCAGTTAGGGGAGGGGAAGTAGTAAAGATGTTCGAACTACAGGAAAATCTTATTAGAAGTTTAACTGAGAGAGAGAACTATGGTAGCTGGAGGAGAATGCAGGATCAAGGGATGGGAATAACACATACCTTCTTACACATTTACCTGGTTTTACGCTGGTTCATCTTAACTAGCACCAACTCACAAATAAGTGGCATCAGTAATTCTGAATATATCAGAAACAGTATACTCTAGGATACTAAATGCCAAATATTAAATATAATTCAAACATCTAAGGGATTTTTTTCTTAAATTATCAGATGATGTTAAATATGAGCTTATGAAAAATCATTTCATTTTTTTCCCATAAGTTGAAAAAGATAAATATTGGGTGAACATTTTATATTTAGTTGACACTTTCTTCTTTTTTACCTTTAAAATAAACAGTGATCTTCCTTCATATGATCTTCCAATAGAGAACATATGAATAAGGCCTGAATGAGTTTTATTCAGATGATGCATCCAACTCTGAATCTAAAAGCAGATAAATAAAAACCATGTCAGACTCTCTTATAGTAATGGGGCTTTTAGAGAATACAGGTAACAAAAATGACAGCAGTAGGTCTCAGAATTCAAAGAGTATATATGAAATACAAAATGAAAAAAGAAACAATTTCCTCTACTTAATTTCTTTGGGATACTTAAAATTTTACATTTTATTTTCTGCCTTTATAGATAGCTTATGTCTTGGTTATGGTTCCTTCTTTAAAGCATATCTTCTACTGCCAAATGTCATTAATATCTTGCTGACACTGTTTTGTAGAAAATTAATTGTTGTGTTCTGGTTTCTTCTTTAAAACATCAGAATTTATTTCCATTTTTCCTCACAGATATTTAAGAGAGGGAGAGAAAAATTTAAATCCACTTTATGAAAACTATCCAAACTACTTGAAAGTGGTGTTCAAATTCCATATATTGTAATTTCCCACAGAACAGAAGATGCTAAGAAAAAGTTATTATTGTTTGCATTTAAACATTATTCTACTGAGCCACATGTTGGAGGACAACTCTGAATAATCCCTCCAGTGACAGTGATATATTTGTCTCCATCCCTCTCACATGCTTATCTGTTATCAGGAGAAGGTATATTTGAAATGGATGAATAAGGTGCTTAGAAAGATGGTAACATTTCTGACTTATAAGCCCTATAAGGAATAAAGAAGTAACACAAAAGCATCTCACTATTCCATGATATAAAAGAGTTTGTATTCAAGAAAAAAATATATATTTTAGAACGTGTATTTTTACTTTTCTTCCTATTCCTATTTAATCTAATGATCAGGTTCATTATACATATGTGAATATATATACACACATTTGTGTACATATCTGTATCCATTTTATTTTTGAAATTTGACTTTTTTCTAGTACATTTTAAGAGCACTGCTGTGTGCCAAGTTATCTAAGACATTTCTACTGCTTCTAGCTTCTAAAAGGTATATTGAGACATAAAATATGTGAAAAGAGTTTTGGAAAGGAGTTATCATCAACAGAACCAAAAATATTCCTAATAATAGAACAGGATCTTGTTAATTTTGGTGTCTGCTGTTCCTTTGTTCAATTCAGGGAACATAGAAAATGTATATATTTATTCATTCTGTCAACAGCTTATCTCTTTTAAAGGCTCTATTTACCTGCCCTTGGGGATATAGTGGCAGATGAGAAAAAAATAGTCTTCCTTCCTGGAACTTGCAACTTAGTAGGAATGAAGGGCACCAGTCAAATAATCCTATAATGACAACAACTAAGAACTGTGAAAGGTAATATCCATATGTTATGGGACGTGTGAAGTTGGAGGGCAGTGGGCAGAAGGGTTGGATCCAGTCTGGAAGAACAGAAACTGCTACTTGATTGCTTAAAGCTGAAATTTGAAGAACGACAAGTTGTCAGGTGAGCAGTAAAGAATGTGGTTGGTGGTGAGGATGAGGTTGCTGTGAGTTTTCTGGGTAGTATATATAACAGCATGTTCAAAGGTTCAGAGGTGTCACTAGTGAGGATTGGCCTTTGGGAGTTCTCAGATTTGCAAGAGTGTAGGGCAAGTATCAAGTCTCAAAGCATTACCTTTAAGCTCTGGCTAGTTCTACTTTCATGGCTTTTCAGTTAAGGTCTCGATAACTATCATTTTAACATTACCTCAGTCTTCCATTGTACTCCTATGTCCTTTGTAGAAGTGGGCTGGGTAAAGCAGGTGAAATTTAAATTATTTTGCTACTTCTTTTTTAGCAGTGAAAGGGTCAGTGGAAGAAATGAGTGAATCGAGGTATTGAGGTCATGTAAGAGTTCTATACATTCTTCCCAGAGCAATTGTCTCTGTCTTTATGCTTCTTTCCCAATACTTAACCCTAAATGTCAAAGATGAACTTGTAAAAAAGCAATAAAAACTCCTATGATTACACACTTCTTCTAAGGAGTGGTACACTTCATAATTATATTCAGACAGGGATCTTCTGTTTCTCTGGGTTGGCAAACTGTTTCCATTTTCCAGCACTTTCTGAAGATCTTCTATGAGAATCCTGGATTTGAAATAATAGACATTATGAAAAGTAAATTGAAATGATGCGAAAATCATGCAACATCAAAAAATTAGATGCATAAGGAATGAACAAGTAACACAGAAGTGTCCCAGTGTTCCATAATGTGAAAGGAAAAAGAAGGATGCCAAGAATGACAATTCTAAAAATACCAAATGTTGAGAAAATGTTCTTTTTTGGGAAATAAAAATGATTAAATAAATGGTAGAATGAATTTAAAGTGTAAAATTGTAGGCAGATGTCCCCAAATAATGTAGCACTGTAACAACAGCTACCATTGAGTGAGCAGCTAAAAACAGCCAAACAATGGCTATGAGCACTTAGACTAGGAGCCATAGCAAGGTGGGCTGTGTATTTGATGTACATAATTTAAGTGACGGTATATGGTGGATTTGACTATCTCCATTTTATAAAAGGGGAACCTGAAATTCAAAGGGATTAAGAATTTGCCAATGTCAGACCTCTTTGGTCAATGCAGAGCCAGAATTTGAACAAGGAATGTACACATAAATTCTAATCTTGCAACTCCAACTCTAGTGTGACATGATGTAAACTGAGCAAGCCTAGGTTACTCCTTCACTCCTCTCCTTATCTTCTTTCTTGCTATTTCTGTCTGTTCATGTCCCTTTCTTCATGGAGACACTGTTTTCAGGTCATCACTCAGAACATCTGACCTAAGATGCAGAGAGGAAAGGGAGGGAACAGAAGTTACAGTTCTCAAGAATAAGCTGAAGAAATTCCCAGAGTTGGAAAAAGCCATCTTGTGTCTACATGCCAGTATCAAGAATGCCAAGAGAAGACAAGCTCAGCTAGTCAGAGTGAGTGCACTGAGAAACTGAAGGTTGAGGCTGGGGTGGGGGAACACAGGCTCAGTCTAATGGGTGAGCCAGGTCCAGGTGGAGTCATCAGTGTTCTTGATGTCTAATCTAGATGCAGACTTGTCTTTCCAAGACTCGCTGGTCACCAGTTATTACAGTGCTGTGAAGTTATAATGGGCTGCATTCATTTGCAATAGTTAAAGATATTTAAGAGCCCTTCACTGATTTTTCAGGGCTTAGAAGATGGCTAAAAAGCTTTGCTGCATGTTTTCTCTTCCAAAAGAATCTGTTCCTTAAAAAGTTTAAATATTATCAGAACATTTTTAAAGAATGATTTATGTAAGCCTTAAAATTAAAAATATTAATCAATTAAAAATAATTAATAATTAATCAATTAAAATATTAAACATATTAATCAATTAAAACATTTTTTAGAATCTGATGGGTAAATACTTTTTTGGTCCATGATGGAAGTACATTTACTTGGGGGTCACAGTGATTTACTCAGTTGTTATTTATTGAGTACCTGCCATGGACAAAACCCCTAATCAGGAGTTGATCATTGGTTCATTGTTCTTTTTGTGTCCGTTTTGTACTTTAAAACTGGAAACATTCCAGGAATCAAGACGAGAGGTAAAGTGGCACAAAGCTTGGTAAATTTTCTTGGCAGCTGCTTGCAGTGGCTCAAAATATGAGTGGAACATTAAATTTAAGCCTAAGTGCCATCAGTATTAGTGTTTTCTCTTTTCCCAAAGGTGAAAAGTTGCAGATGGTTAGGTGCATGGGCTAAAGAACTTTATCATATTGCAGAGACAAGTCTTTGGAGCCAAATGAGCTAGCTCTGTCAATGTCTGAGTTTCCTTGTGTTAATAGAGAACCTGAATAGTGAAGCTGTCAAGAATGCCAAGAATAGAGAAGCTTAGCTAGTCAAGGTGAGCATTTAGAAATTAAAGGCTGAGGCCAGGGCAAGGGATGCCAGGTTCTTTGCAATGGATGAAACCAGCAGCAGGTGGAGTCACCCTGTGGGTTTGATTAAGAAGGTGGCTATAAATCGTTCTCATATTCCAGTTACTGCAGGCAACCTTCAAGTATGTTTTTCTTCCAGGATGATTTCTCTCGGCTGCTTTTATTTTTCTATCCCAAGAAACCAAGGGGGAAAATAAAAAAAAAACGTAGATAGATTTGCCAAAGCCAGCAATCTACACAAGGCTCTCCTTCTGAATGCCCAGTTGAAAAGGTCCGTGGTACTTTGTTACAGCAATCCCAGCACAATAATTCAAGTCTCTGTTCAGTCACTTAGGACTATACTCTCACACAGGGTATAAAAGGCCAACTTTAAATTAAAAAATAGTTGTAATATAGCTGACGCAGAGCCATTTTCCTTGTCAAGTACTGGACTGGAAACCAGCAATATTGATGAGAAAGCTGTGAAATGGAGTATCAAAAAAAAATCTTTTAAACTGTTGTGTTTTCTTAGTTTTTTTTAAAAAATATTTCATTATGATTCCTTCTCCAATTGGGTACATTTCTATAATATATCTGGAACAATGAGAAACTTTCCAAATTTTGTAATTCAATATAAAACTATCTCCTTGAAGCTTCCAGAATTGGGAAGGGCCCTCAAAATTGAAATTTTGATGCCAATTTTCACAGGAATTTATTAAGTGACTGAACTTTTTATGCAGAATGAGTCATCTCATGGAGAGGAGGATTGATCACCTGGGGACCAGACATGTGGTGTCACATTATCTGTGCTTTAAAGATCACTATAATGATACCTTATATATAGTTTGTACAGAATAAATGATAATCTTTGGAAAATACCCCAGACTACAATCATAAAAGTCAATTAAAATGATCTCTACCTATCGTGCCCAAGGAATTTAATTGACTCTTATGTGTTATTATCTTGGGACCAACAAAATGAATAATTTTAAATGATTGCTCTTCCTGAGGAGACAACTGATTTAAAACACTCATTTTTTTTTTAAGGCTCTATTCTCTGCGACACAAAATATGACATTTTTTTCTGTATTTAATGGTAGGAAATGGAGACTTGTTAAACTAACTGATACATTCTTTTCTACTGAACAATAATTAATGAAGCATGTAGGTTGTCACTGGCACCTATGGATATAATTGCCAAGCTCTTTCCTGCCAGGCGTTCAGAGAATCAAAGCACGGCGTCAAAGCGGCAGCACCGACTAAAATGTGTCCAATATGAACAAGAGTTTTATGCACAGCTGTGATTCTTTTCTAGAAGCACAAATAAAATGCCTTTCTGCAAAAAGCTTATTGGTACTTTAATAGGTTGTAAATATCTTTCCGGCAGGGCAGTATTTGTGTGGATCAGGGATGTCACTGTCATTTTGCACCTTTTGTCCCAGGCTTCCAGAGAGCCTGGGGCCTTCAACATTGATTCACAGAGCCATCAGCCCACCCCATGTCTTCCCACACATTATCAGAAACCTGTGTGCCAGTTTTGACAGTACTTCGCCTGCTAAGAAGGTGGGGTATTTGAGGGTGTGAGATTATTATGCCCCTCAGGCCCCAAATATCCCAGTGAAGGGTAAGCTACGCTCTGGTCTCATTAATTCACTATACTGCATTTCTTTTCCTCAAATCCTCTGCGGGCACTGTTTCTCTCAACCACCCCCTTTACCCTGGGCCCACTGGAGTCTCTCTTGTATTGTAAACAAATTCCTACATTCTCCAGTATCTTCAGAGAACTCTTTCTTTTCATATTCTTTTCCCACCAAAAATTTGGCACTTTCTTTTGTGGATTTTTACCTAACACACTCTTCCTACTTATCATGGGGCCCAAAGGGAGGGAGGGGTCAGGGTTCTCCAGGACACCGTTTTGCTTTCCCATTAATCTCCTCACTTCCGGGCAGAGCTCACGCCATTCCTTGTTGCTTTCCTCTAACTCTTGGCTCTGTCTTTCACCTCTAATCTTACCACCAGCTAAGGATAGAAGAATGCATTTTGACACATCATACATAAATGGAGTATAACTTGTCATTCTTCTGGTTGTACATGCTGTAGAATCATACCAGTTGTGTAATTATATATGCACATAGGGTAAAAATGTCCGATTCACTCTACTATCCTTCCTCCCCTTCTCCCTCCCCTACTTTCACTCTCCTCTGACTAATCCAAAGTACCTCTGTTCTTCCCTAGTGCCCCCAGCCCCTTATGGTGAATTAGCATCTGCACTGCATCCAGTTCAGTGATTTTCCACCCCAAATTCCACTCCAGCCATCTCCTTCATGGCTAATGCCTGGATTTTGTCATCAGCCATAAGTTTTCTAACCTAGAATTCATAACATCCAACAGCCCACATTTTGTCAAAACTTCCTTCCTTCCCACTGTTACTCTCAGTCACACTGTACTTGTTTTCAATATAATGACCTTCGCGCCATTTTTATATTTTCCTTTTTGATCCATGATTCTTCCTAGATTCTTCTGTCTCCTTATCCTGATTAGACCCCAATGAATGAATACTTGATCAAGTGTCTCCCTGGGAGTCTTGACTTCCTTGCCATCCTGACTTTTCCTTGATCTTATTCAACAAAATAGCACCTTTATATCAGTTCTCTATTCTTGCCTCTCTTCTCAGTTTTATTGGTTCTTACCTTGGTTTTTCTCTTGACAACACTCTTCAAAAACAGTGTCTTCACTTGTGCTAGATAATTTTGCTTCTTATTTCATCCAGAAGCTTTTAAACTATGATCTCCTTCAATGTATGGACTTTCCTTTCTGCAACCTTAGGTAAACCCACGTGTACTTCTTGAGTCTTAGAAGATGAGGTAACCTTCCTATTGTTCAAACTCATCCCTGCACCTGTGCATTCCCTCTGGCATGATTGACATCTCCCTCCCTTCTGGTTGTTCCCCTCAGCTCACAGACATGAGAAAATTTCCCCCCTCTCACCTAAATCCCAAATCTTCCAAACAGTCACTCATCCTTTGTGGTCACTTCCTCTTCTCTGCTCCTCTCCTATTCTGATTGCTAAGAGCTGTAGTCTGCTCTGTTTGCTCAAGATCTTCTCCCTGTTCACTTCTTCTATCCCTAATAACTGAATCTCATCATTAGTGTTAGCAACACAATTTCCATTGCCAAATCCCAAGGAGCCTGCTCAGTTCCTTCTTGCTGGATGTCACTGTAGTACTTGGCCCCATGACCCTTCCCTCTGATTTGATTCCTCTGACTCTCTCCTACTTGCTCTCTTATTGTGTTGATTCCTTTTTATATCCAACCTGTTTCAAATCTGTCTACTTCGTTAGCTTTTCCAAGCTACACAACTTGGAGTTATCCTTTGATGTCTCCCTTTCTCATCTACCATTCAACCAGGTAGAGAGTCCAGGTGGTTTGACTTCTGGATTTTTAAAAAAATGTTCTCTTCATTTTACTACTCTGGTCTTAACTCGGGGCCTCCCCCGTCTTGCTGGGACCATTGCTGTCATCTCCTCTTGCCCCTCTACTTCCACAGACATGTGACTCCTTTGCTTATATCCTCTAATAGATCAGCACCATGGACAAGATAAGGTCTGGGCTCCTTTCCGCTACATGTACACCTTCTACCCCTTCATCTCCTGCTGTCTCTCCTGCACCTTTTCTTTCTGCTATTTGACTTTCAATATTACACTGTATTTCTATGCTGCTTCTTCCTTTACTTGCATTGTCCCCTCTGCATGCCAGGTCCCGAGTCTCATTCTAGGTCTGGATGACACAACTCCTGTAGAAAGCCTTTTCCTCCTCTTCCTTCCCATAAGTCCTCCAGACATTGTTAGGTTGCTCTCTTTTCTTTACTGGAAAAATAATCTGTGTGGACAATGATCACTTAATGGCAATAGTGAAATGACATATGTGGCGGTTCCTATTCCCTTTTAACCTAGTAAGTTCATCCAAGGTAAATATTTTTCATGTCAGTTTTCTCAAAATGGAAAGCTATTTAAACCATTCATGTAAGCACTTGATAATCTGAATACAATGATCATTCATTTGATTTCATACAAATGAATTTTGTAGCACATGAAAAGGAAGAGCTTACTTGTACTGGATGTTGGCTTCTTGTAAGAAGGTTAACAGGGCTCGGGAAGCATTTTGAGAAATATGGACATCAGTAACTGTTCCTTCTGTTACATAGGAGATACTGCTGGGCTGCCACAGGTCCACCTGTAGTGCAGGAACCAACCTATAATTCATATTCAATGTAGGTGGGGAAAAATCCATGTCACAATATAAACACATTATCTTGTTTGAACACAGTAACACCAAACATATTTCAGCATGAGTTTCAATACTCATATCATCAGGGTGAAACTTCTATCTGAATTTGAACTTAGGCTCCAGATTGTATCATACCCATAGAGAATTTGATTATAATTTATGAGTAATAGTTCAAAGAAGAATACATTAAAGCAACAAGGTAAAAATGAGATCAAATAGTTTTAAGCATAGCTTAAATGTTGTTTTAAAATTATTTATTGTGTAAATATTTGAATGAGAAAGAGAAAGATATAAATTAGCCTTCTTCCTGACTTAGGAGAATTGGGGTGGCATTGACAACATTTGGTAATTTTTCTTTTTTTTTTTATTATTTTGGTGGTTCTGGGGATGGAATCCAGGGCCTTGCACATGTCAGTCGAGTGCTCTATTAGAGCTACCTCCCCACTCCAGTTTTTGGCATTTCTAAGTGGTTCATTCTCCAGGCGTCTTCTACTTGATTTGCACGTCAAATCAACCCTCCCTTCTTGGGAAGGCCTTGGTAGCTGGGACAGTTCTTCCTGTCCTTGTTCCTAGAGAACCTTGTGCTTCTTTCATTATGTAACTTGTCACCAGAATGTAAGCTCCTTGAGGGTGAAGGATTTATCCACTTGGTTACCACCCAGAAGAATACCTTGAGCATATTAGCAACTCAGTCCTTATTTGTTGCACAAGTGTAGATGTCCCCCCACCCCACCAAGTAATTGCTAGGTTCACTACATATTCAGTATTTTTCAGGAAAGCAGGAGTCACATCCATTTACCTTCTGTGAACTCCGTGCCAGGGACAGGGTAATGTACCTGGAAGGAACTCTACTTTCATCAAAAGAATAATAGAACCCTTCTGGGAGATAGAAGAGCCTTATCTTCTGCAGGAGCTTAGAGACACATTTTCAGTTAGGCACAGTTTATCTTTATAGCTCTGTTTCTGTCTTCCCCTGTCTGCTTTGGGTTTCCCCTTCCTATATCTTGGTTCTTGGTCCTACTGCAGGGCCTTGATGTCTGCTAAAACTTTATCTGGTAGCTTTAGTTACTTGCCTTCACTCTGTTAGGGAATTCTAGGAGGCCAAAAGTACTTTGTGATTCAAAGAAGTAAATGGATGTAATGGTATAATCTAATCTGAAGCAGTGAAACCAGGCTTTTATTTTTGGGACAAAGAGTCTACCTGTTTCCTTTTAAACAGCTGACTCCTTCATTAACTTGCAAGGGCAAATCTGACTCAGCTAACAAGCCAGTCCAATGTTCATAGGAAAACAGAAGTGTGGGGATGGAAGGGATGCTGAGAGGTCATTTGATCCATCTGTCAGCCCTTGGGCAAGGATAAATCTAAGACTGCACCAGACTGTCCCCAATAGATACTCTAAACCACATCTTTGAATTCTCCAAAAGGAGGAGAATTGACAACATTCTAATTTAACTCATTTTCATATTTACAAGGTTGTCAGATATTTTTCTTAATCTTTTATGCTACCATACAATTTCATTTTTTTATAGTTCTATTCTTCAATGAGGAATGGCTGGTTTTTTTTTTTTTTTGCCTTTGTGAGATAAACATGTTGGTATCTTTCAGTTTTCTTTAGATTTTCTAATCCTTTAATCATCTTTGGGTTTTGCCTTCTAAAGCCATGATAGAGTCATATTTTTTTTTATATTAAGGGAAGAAGTTTGATGCCATCTCTTAATGGCTGTGAAGAGCAGGAAATTGGACTGTAGTCATGGTGTAGAGAGCCACAGGTACCTAAAATAACATGAATTACCACTCTGTAGTTGAGTCTGTAAGTGAAATTATCTGGGGTGCATGCTAAAATAAGAATCCCTATCCCACAGGAAAGAATAACTTCTGAACAGAAAGGTCCCATGGAGTAGCACACCCTATAGCAAGATCTGGAAAAGGCTTCCTAGGAAACTAATATTATCAAAAAGCAGTGGCCTAAGGGATGACTAACAAAAATAACAGCTTGAAAAATCAGCAATTGTATTTTTCTGTGATGTTAGGAAAGCAAAATTAATATATTAACTGTCAGTTTTTCTCCAGTATTACTTTGGGGAAAGGGATAAGTAACATGGATATTTTAGTCTGGTGGCAGGCACGTACCTATATCAAGATACAGGGGACAGCAACAACCATCTGAAGTTGGAAGAGTGCCACCTTCTTTATGGACATTTCTAGTCCTTTAAAAAACATCCTGGGATAGGAGTTAGTTGTAGATACATTTAATGAATGAGAAGATTCAGGTTCATGAGGATCAAATCATTTTCTTAAGGAAGAACTGCTATAAAATGGCTAATAGCAAATACACCAAACTCCAGTGCCCATAACTCAGTGACCCAATAAGTGCCTTCCCTCTGAGAATAATCCAGAAGAATCAGCATCTGCCCACTTCCTGACTTTGTGTTTGTAGGGGTCTGGTCAGTGAGTCTTATACCCAGGTTTTTCCTGAGGGGTTTTTATTCTATATATCAATAATCAGATATTTTAAAGTTCTAGTCAGCCCAGTGAATGCAGGTTACCATAGTCATTTTCTTAAGGTCTGCACATCTGATAAGTGGTTCTGAACTGCAAACTGTGTGACATTGGGTTATGACATAATAAAAATATCAGTGGCTTTGTCAAAATGGCTGAAGCCTGTTTGCTAACCATTCCAGATCGTTACTGTAAACAGCCACCAAATATTCCACAGGAAAGCTCACCCCTTTGTGGAGACTTCTGCCCTAGAAACCAGTCATATATATTCAGATCCATTTAAGAGGTTGGAGTTTATTGTCATTGTCATGTGTTTAGACTTTGGAATCCAACAATCCTGGGCTAGAATTTCCAATCTGGCAGCAGCAGTTGCATCACTTTTGGGGAAGTTTTTAACATTCCTAAGCCTTAGTTTCCTCATCTGAACTGTGAAAATTTTAATGTCACCCACAGTCTCTTTTGGAGAGTTAATTGGAAAAACATAAGTAAAACAGATAGTAATGAGTATAACATATAGTAAGAATTCAAAAAACATATACAATTACCCTGATACCAAAACTAGACAAGAATACAACAGAAAAAGACAACTGTAGACCAGTATCCTTGACAAACGTAAATGTAAAATTCCTGAACAAAATACTAACAAATTGAATCTAATAGCATATCAAGAAGATTGTACACTCATGATCAAGCTGGATTTTCCCCAGGGTTGGAAGGATGGTTCAATATACTCTAATCAATAAACAGTACACAACATCAAAAGAATGAAAAAGAGAAAATTATATGATCATGTCAATAGATGCTACAAAAACATTTGAGAAAATTCAATATCCCTTCAAGAAAAAAAACGCTGAACAAGTCAGGAAACACTGAACAAGTCAGGAATGGAAGGAATGTATTCCAACATAATAAAGGCTATCTATGACAAATTCACAGCCAACTTTGCATTGAATGGGGGAAGCTAAAAGTGTTTCCTCTAAGATCTGGAACAAGATGAGAATGTCCACTTTCACTGCTCCTATTCAACATAGCACTAAAAGATTTAGCCAGAGAAAGTTGATAAAATAAAGAAATAAAAAATAGAAATAAATAAATAAATAAATAAATAACAAATAGAAATGGAGGAGGCCAAATTACCCATTTGCAGTTGATTGGATTCTATGTATTGAAAAATCAAAAGACTCCACCAAAAGTCCATTAGAACTGATAAATGAATTCATAGTAAAGTTGGAGATTACAAAACCAACATACAAAAATCAGTAGCATTTTTATGCACCAATAACAAGTTTACTGACAAACAAATCAAGAAGGTGATCTCATTCACAGTTACTATAAACCAAATCAACCAAAACAACAACAACAACAACAACAAAACCTTAAGAATAAATCAAGATAGCAAAAGACCTCTACAATGAAAATTACAAAACACTGATGAAAAAAATTGAAGACACACATGCACACAAATGGAAAGACTTCACATGTTCATGGATTGAAAGGATGTTGTTAAAATGTCCACATTATCCAAAACAATTTGTAAATTTAATGCAATACCATCGAAAATACCAATGTCATTCTTCACAGACCTAAAAAACACAATCTAAGATTCATATAGAAGCTCCAAGACCTCAAATAGATGAGGCAATCTTGAACAAAAACAACAAAGCTGGAGGCACCACAATATTGATTTCAATACACAACACTGAGACATATTAACTAAATAGCATGGCATTACCATAACCCGTAAAGACCCTATGGAACATATTAGATTTTAGAAATAAACTCACACATCTACAGCCAACTGATTTTGACAGATATCAAAAACACACGTTGGAAGAAGTACAGCCTCTTTAATAAATTGTGCTGGGAAAAATGGACATTCACATGCAGAATATTGAAACTTGACCCCCATCTCTCATCCTGTATAAAATAAACACAAAGCAGATCAGAGACCTAATAAGACCTGAAACTGTGAAACTATTAGTAGAAAACAGGAGAAATGCTTCAAGACATTGGGATAAGCAATAATCTTTTAGATCTGGCTCTAAAAAGCATAGGAAACAAAATAAAAAATAAAATGGGATTATATCAAACTAAGAAGCTTCTGCATAGCAAAGAAAACAATCCACAGAGTGAAGAGGCAAAGAATGTGAGAAAATATTTGCCAACTATTCATCTGACAAAGGATTAATATTCAGAATATATGAGGAACTCAAAAGCTTAATAACAAAAAAACAACTCATCTAATTTTAAAAATGGACAAATGTATTTCTCAAAAGAAGAAATTCAAATGCCAATAGTTCACATACAAAGAAAATGAAATCAGCATACCAAAGAGATACCTGCACTCTCATGTTTATTGTTACATGAATCATAATAGCTAAGATATGGAATCCAACTTTGTGCTCATCGGTGGATAAATGCATATAAAGAAAATGGCATATAGACA